CAAGTTGGGAGTTTCTATCCCCCATACCACCTATGCCAGTATAATCTAGATTGCCATTTTGCCCCACCCTTCATCTTCCAAGACTACAGTGGCTCCCACGTTTAATTGTTTTTCCTGTGATTATGCAAGGTTGCATTTTTCTGCATGTTCTCTTGTGGGTTGCTAATTAAAAGTCCTCCCATTCCCTCTACTGTCTCAGTATCCACACCCCTACATCCCTTGGGAAGGACACAGAGAAGTGTACAGGCATGATGTGCACAGGAGATGTGCATCACAGCTGAGGAACAGAGTCCTCCCACAGTTTACAGGGTTTGTGCTTGTGTTTTGTTTTTTTACAGTAAATAAATCAACCTAAACCTAATGGTGTACTTTTCCACCATTACGTACACCATTCTGAGCACTAGGTACATTTGACTCCTTTTCACAAAAAACCAAACTGTCTTTCAAGGGATTTTATTCCACTTTTCTTGAAAATATGTCTGATCAGTGGAATTATGGTTTGTGTGTGGATGTCCCCTCAAAACCTCATGCAGTCATGGGGCAGGCTTTTAGAGTTTATGATTGATTCATGGTCCAGCGTTGGAATTATGGATGTAAGTGCTACACTCCCCCTGGGGCGGGTAGTTTCCACACAATGTAAGGGAAAGAAAGAGGCTGCTTAAATCTGCTCTTCCCTTTTGGCTGTTTTGCCTTTGCTATTTGCTACTGCCGTGAACGTTTGCCCTCTGTCATGTGCCACCCTGCCTTGGATCCAGCCAAGTATGGACTGAAACCTCCACAAACTGTAAGCTAAGTAAACCTTTCCTTCCTTAATTCTGGGTGTTGGGTATTTTGTCTCAACAATGAGAGAAAAGTAACCAGGACAAATGGTTTTTAGCATCTCTGTTCCCAAGAAGCATAGAAGCAGACAGACCCAGGGAGAAGAATTTTTCAGCAATATTTCCCCATCATGAGTGTACAAAAATTTCTGGCAAATTTTTCCTTCAGTATTCCTCTCCTTCAACCACTGTGATTCTTCTGTGACAGAGCTTGAGGGAAATTTTCAACTGCCCTTCCACAGTGTTTAGTTATAGATTCCATCTGCAAGACTCCAGGCAGTGGGACTACATCCCCCATAGTGGAACCAACTAATTTCAAAGAGATTATTAATCATCAGGAGTATTTTAGAAATCCAAGTCTCCTGTACCATGATTTCATTGGCTTTTCTGATTTACATCAGACCCTGATCCAGGTACAATAGCACACATCAGCAATTGCACAGGCTCCACCATTCCAATGAAAAGGAAATTTAAAGCAGTGCTATCATCTATCACAACACTTAGCAGTTAGCTGGGGCAAACCTGGGTGTAATTGAAGGTCACATGAGATTTCCTGAACATTCAGAGACCTTGTATGAAACTTCTCCTCAGGTAGAATGCAAGTGACTCTATTTTGAGGTTGGTAATTTAATATTTAACTTCCATACAAGAAGTACAATCCCAAAGATGCACATAGGGTCCCTTGGAAGAAAGTAGTATTCACACTTTTTGGATCTACTAAGTGGGAACAACATCATCTCAAAGACATGAATTGACAGTGCATCCATTGATTTATTGGCTGGCTTGGGGACATCAGGGGCTCCCAGAGGCTCAGAAAATTCCAAAATGAATTGAAATTGCTATGGATCCATCCTCTGTGCAGAAGCCTATGTAAATAGTCTGGCCGTGTCTATGCATATTGTTGTTTGGTTGAAGTAGCCTGTACACGCATTGTGTATGTCACTTCTCAAATCAAGACTCCTAAATGGCACTGAGGTTTTTTCATAACAGGTGGAACAAGTGTAGTAACTTGTCTTTAAATTGGCACTTCCGTTTTCTGTCATTAAAAATCCTTTGATCACATTTTCGAGGAGCTAGTTCATCACTATTGGGCCTGAACAGGCTACTGTGTACTACATGAAGAGTAAAAGAGTGGGGCTGGGGATATAGCTCAGTGGCATAACCATTGAGGGAAAAAAAGGAAAAGATATGAGGGAAAAGATATGAGGGAAGATGCATGCAGCATTGAGAGGACAGAAAATGCTGTGCTCTTGGCTTTCACAAGGAAGACCCCCAGACAAAAGGAGGTGTGCTCAAAAACTGGAAAGGACCAGAAAATGCATTGTCCCAAGAGCCTCTGGAAAGAACTCAGTGTGTAGGCCATCCTAGATCTCTGGCCTCAGAACTGGTAGAGAATATTCATGTGTTGTTCATTCCATTGTTTATGGTCATTCTCTGCAGCAGTCACAGGAATAGAACAGAGACAAAACTCCAGTTCACCTTCTCTAAAAAGTCTGACTGGCTTCCACCACTGCCAGGTAATCTATCACCTGCAGAGATCAACAAGCAACCCACAAGATGGCCTCGATAACCACAGAAACCCTGAGTCTCAGGCAGTAGTAGTGGTGGATTGGATTGTGCTAGGTGCATTCAATGCTTTAGACATGCGTTTGATGTAGGAATATTTTTCAGTACTTCAATAGTTTGAATTCATTCAATCCTCATGATGACCAGTGAGGTGGGTACTATGTTTGTACCTATTTTATATATTAGGGGTCTTTTACCTCACCAGAGGGGTCAAGTACCTCATCAAAGTCACATGCACAATGAGCCAAAACCCAAAATGTGATTCCATGATGTCTGGACCAACTGCTGCAGGTTAGTACAGTGGTTTTGTTTGTATTTTTAAAATATTTTGGCATTGTTTTTTATTTTTGGAAGGGAGGTGGGGAGGTCATAGCATTTTCATTCATCATCCAATCTTTCACACCATGTGTTCCACTTTCCTCCAGAACAAATTTTCTAAAATACACACCAAATCTAGTTGCTTTCCTGATCAGAAACTAAACTGTGTATCACACAACTAGGTTACTTCTGCCTTTCTATTCCTACCCCTTGAATTCTGTATCAGCTCTCCTAACCCTTCTGACCATTCTGCACTACCTCATGTATGTTTCTAATTTCCCTCATTCTGAAATTTTCCACACTTGGGTGAATCACCTTCTTTTTGAAGATCCATTTCCCCCCCACAATAAATTGATGGGATTACATTGAAATAGACCTCTGTTTTGGCCAAGGCTTCAGAAGAATCCCCAAATCCTGACATTTTTGATCCTCAAATGTTCCACTGTAGCAATGAAACTGTCTAGGACACTGTTATGTGGCCGCAATTGCTTACATGTTCATGATGAGATTCAGCCCAGGCCATGGAGTTAAAAGATCTCAAGAACACTCTTGTGTCCATTAAGTCTGACGAAATATTAAGAGGGAAATAGTCTCCTCTTGTGTCCTCCCTGTCCTGATGGAATCCTGATTGGCCTGAGGACAGAGAAGAGGTATCAAGAGTAGGCTGTGTAGAGCCCCAAGAACACCCAGAGGAACCATGAGAAACAAAGGGGAATTATGTCAGTGGAGAAGGAAGGTAGAGCTGAAAAAGTTGAGAGGATCCCTCCTGGGGCAGCAAGCGATTGCCAGCAACAAAAGATGGGGCTCATGTGTGCAGAACAACGTTCTTATCCTAGGCTGACACATCAAATTTGCCGTTCTTCTAGTCATCTTCTGTCCTGGCTTCTGCATAAGGCAGAGTTTTGTAGCAGTCCCTTGACCTCCACTTGCACTGTTCACACACTGTGTGATCTCCATGTATCAGTAAAAGCCGTGACTCCCTTCTAATGAGATGTGGCAAAGGTAACAGCTTAGATATGACTAAGCATCTCTCACTATAGTACAATAGATCTGCTGGCCACTGGATCCCATCTGCCTCTCAGTTGTTGATTTAAGAAAGTAAGCACCAGTTAAACTTAAGTGGCATGACACTGTGGTTGGTCAGAGAAGCTGAAGGTGAAGACCTCTGGCTAACAGCTAAAAGGACACTGATGACTTCAGTCTTCAGTCTTAAGAGACTGTATTCTGCCTGGTGATCTTGGATGCAGAGCCTTCTTCTTTGAGCCACAGATGAGACTACAATCACCTCTTAACGATTTTCCCTATGGGACCACAAGGTAAGAGCCTAGCTAAGCTATGGGCAGCCCAATGGCCCTTACAAACTGTAATCTAATGGATGTGTACTGTGAAACACTCGAACATTTGTGTTATTGTGAGACAGAAACAGAAAAGTAACAACACCTTCTATCAAAGATGATAAAATATAACCCATGCCTCATGATGCTTTCTGACGCTCAAAGAACCCAGTTAAGTTGCCTGAGAAATACTAGTGTTCAATGAAAGGACCAGAGGCCAATATAGGACCACTTCCTTTGTCAGTCACAGATGAAAGTGTTTGGAGCCAGGCAAGCTATGATTGCACAGATTGGAAAACCTTCAGCTCCATCCCTTGCATGGATCTAGCCAGCAGTGGTGCATGGGATTCTTCCAGATGCATCATACAAACATGAGCCTATACAGTTTCTGTGGGCCTTACCAGCATGATGGGCAGAGGATACCCCACTCCTCTCCCTATGAACATAGACATTGACACTGACCAACTGAGAGAAACTGCTTTGTAGAAGTGGTAAGAATACAGAAGTTTAACAGAGAAAAGAGGCTACACTTCCTCCCTCAGAAAATACACTTTCCATGTCCAACATAGCATCTAGAGCTCTCCAACATGGCCTTGGCTCTGAAAATCTCCTCTTGGCAGCCAGAGATCTGGCTTAGGGATTCCCATGAAAGACCAGAGTCTTGGTCAAGCTTCTGACTCCCCAGAGTTCACCATCTCTTCCATTTCTCACATCTAATGTCTGTCCTTTGTATCTTTCCCCCAAGCCCCTCAATATATCTCCATAGTCCACCACAAGGATGACTTGACATATATGTGCTTGGTTACATTAACATTCCTCAGGCCACCTGGAGACACTCTTAGCTAGAATGTGACCACTCACACTGAGCCCAGGAACAATGAAGTGATGTCTCTTCCAGCAGGAACATGGACCCTGCAGTGCTTTGTCATCCTGGATATGGGTTCACCAAATAAATTGGGACCAATTTTTGGCATTAATTCTGCAGAGACTTTATGGTTTAAGGTGCCAAGAAAATTTTAAAACCATTTTCTCCTCCCTTGATATTTATTTCTAAATGTTAGAGAACGTTGTTAAATGCAAGACTGAACACTGGTAGTATAGGAAGGAAACACAGTTGTATTTTCTTGAAAATAAAGTCTAAAAGGTCTTCACTCCATCTTATCCTCCTTAACTGGGTCATAATAGATTAGCATCTTTTCCTGAAATAAAGTAGAACTCAGCAGAATCCCTAGCTGCTGCAGAAGTATCCTGACCACACTTTACTCAAGCTCCCAGTGTTACTTTCATAAGCCTTTTATGTAACTGACTACAGCATTTACAATTTTCAGGGAGCATGAGAAAGAGAAAGACTGCCTATCAAATAAAGTTATGCATCCATGAAAACCATCCTCCACATGGTACCAAATCACTGGTACTCCCTGATCTTCCAAGCGTTTCTTGTAGAGCAAGGTGTGGTCACGGAGGATGTCATTCTCACAGCTCACCAGGAAGGCTTCAGGGAGTTGAGCAATGGTTTCATCATCAGCTAAGAGGGGAGAATTTTCCACATCTAACAGATGTTTGGTTTCCAGATAGGCAGCCTCATTAAAAGGCCCAGGAAACTGGGGTTCCTGGTATTTGTTCTTAAATCTCATGGGGATGTTGTCAGCACTCAGCCATTTCCTGTACTTCATCCAGGTTTCTGGGGGGATATAAGCACCATCCAGTATGGCATCTTTCCAAGAGAGGTCAATGGCCATATATTTACAAATGCACAGCATCATAAAGTCTCGGGTGAGGAATGGAATATTTTGCTTCTGTTGAGTGGATGGCAACTGGAAATTGATGCACTGGACAACTGGATAAATCAGGATCTGAGCCCGGATCTTGGGAAGATCTGTGCATCCCACTAAGGCTTGAGTGACCTGGGCCACAACTCCTCCTCCAAGGCTTTCCCCACAGACCACAACCCGGCAAGGGTCGACACCATAGGTTTTCAGTCTCTTCAGGAAGTGAATGGTGGTGTGTAGACAGTCCATGGTAATGTCAGGGTAATGGTGGCCAGGAAGCTTTCGGTACCTAAGGAGGAAAGAGAGAACAAAGAATAGTGTTCAAAGGTGTTGCTGCAGGCCACCTCAGCATATGCTTTCTTGGCACTTAGGAGACCTTCCCCAACACATTCTTTAGAATGACCCTAAGAAGTTCTCTGGGCATCCCCTTTGCTTTCCCATGGTAATGTCAAGCACCTGCCCAGAGTCTGGCTATGCAGCTTTCTACATTTTCAACACATGTTCCACTTCCCATGCTTCCCGTGCATATGCAAATCCCATACTCACTGAAAACTATTAGCTTTAGGAAGGGAACAGCAGTAATGATGGGAACACTGCAAGTGAACCTATTGCTCATGCTCACACAGCTGGGGACCACCAACTAAAGAAGGCTGGAATGACAAGACAAACTGCTACAATAAATTATTACACTTTGTAGCATGGCCTATTCTACCAGACCCATCCTGAGATCCTGATAAAGTCACAGAGGCATAATATTGTCAAAAATTGAGAAATTCTTGCCTAGAAAAAAAAACTAAATAAGCCCACTACCTTCCCTTGCCCTCAGTCTATTTGAAATAGTTAACTTTGTAGTTCATCTGGGGAATGCATTATTAGTTTGCCATTTGCTTTTGCTGTTGACACCACCTCTAGGGTCTGGATTGTGGCAACAGCTACCTTGATTTTATCCAAGGACTCAAAGATCGTTTTTGCTCAGAACACTGACTCTTCCCTTCAGCCTAAAGACTTCTAATGAGAGCCTAAAATGGGGTAAAAGGTATAGAATCTCTGTCTTCACATTATGTCTCCTTTGCTGCTTTAATCCACTGCAGAGACGGATTCTCTGCACATAGACATATTGCTCATTTAGAACTGGTTTGATGAAGACTATCACACAAGGTTAGCTTGCCTACTGTCTCTTAAAGCTGGTGTACATCTTTTCTACCCCATCCCTTTATCCCTATTAGCATGACTGGATTTGTGCAGGATGATGGAAAAGTCACTCAGTAGTTCCTAAGCAAAGTTGA